ACGATTGAAAACAATGTTTTTGTTTGAGTTTGACCAATTCATAAAAAAAAAAAAAAAAAATAATTAAGACATGCGAGTCCGTCAACCTTAAGCAACAATCTTTGTCAATTTTATTTTTCAGTCTTTATGATGGCCGATACTTTATCTATCTCTTACTGTTACATCCACGGTCAACGCCGGGCTCTACTGCTAGTTATATATAAACTAATGTTTACCGAATACAAGGCCTTAGAAAATGAAATCGAAAAGTTTTTGTTGGATTTTTAATGTAACTATAACAACAAAAAATATTTTCGATTTCATTTTGCCTTGAAAAGTCGGAAGACGAAACGCGTCGGCAAAATGTAAGATTTTTTTCCAATTGTCATTTGATACCATATATATATATATATATATATATATATATATATATATATATATATATATATATATATATATAGATAATATTAGTGGCAAATATACACATACATATGTTACCCTCTCTTTAACTCTAACATCCGTCCCACACTCTCATACTTACACTCTCTAAATTCTATTTTTTATTTCCGGAGTTGTTTTTTTTGTTTTTCTTTTTGAATTTGTAGGTCTGATGAATTAGATCGTATTTACGATTCCAATGGAATAAATTATGACCATGGAATATTAGTGTTTAAGCCTTTTTTATCATATATATATATATATATATATATATATATATATATATATATATATATATATATATATATGTGTGTGTGTGTGTGTGTGTGTGTGTGTGGAGGTGTATTAGGAATTTTCGTATTGTATTCGCTGCTTTGGGCATTATCTTCTATTCTTCATTTCATAAAAATGACGTTGCTTTCTAATATTCCCATTTTACTGTACAAAAATGTTTTGAAAACAGACTAAATCGTTACTTTTCATTCGGTTTATGTAATTGTCTATCCTGTCTGAATTTAAAACTATAATCTCCGCATATAAATATTTTATTTTAATTCTATCGAAGAGAAACAAAAAAACTAGTTTCTTTCTTATTCTTTATTTCCTTATTGATAACAGAAAGCATTAAGTAGAGAGACAAATTTATACTATTTTAAATTCTAAAATTTAACTTAACATCTTTGGCTTTAACACTAACAGATAAAGAAGAAACAAAAAAAATATTTAACGATTTTATAGTTTTTATTACATCATTTTCAGCTTATTTATTACTTTTATTATTTGGATGTATAGATAATGCGTCAAATTATTTAATACAATGAATAATGTTAGCGGACATGTTAAATTATTAGATGCAAATCAAAACGCTCATTCCACAGTGAACTGAACCCAATCCATATTCAATATTCATTTTATTTAAAACACTTTCTGTGTTCTTCGATTGTGAAATCGAAAGCTGGTCATAGCTTCATATTGATACTGAATGTTTTTTCTTCTAATTTTATGTTTTGAAAAAATAACATTATTTTTTGAATAATCTTCTTGCATAAAGATCAGATAACAATCGGAACAACTGGTTTTTAAAATTCATAATTTTCTTTAGACGAATAAGCATGAGTTTCCAGTTTGCTTTTCCTCCAGAAATGAAAAAAAAAACTGTATTAAATTTAATTAACAGTATTCATAAGTAATCATTAGGCAGGCTGTTTATAAAGAATGATAAGTATAACATGTAATGATGATCTGCGGTTAAATGCATTTCTATGTAACGACATCTCGATTGAACATTTAAGTTAGGACTTACTGAAAAGCTGCAACGTATCAAGTCTGTTTTGAGGAAAATGTCTGCTGACACTGCTTCCTCTTAACAAAATGGTTCTATAATCAATTACTATAGAAATGTGTCAAAAATATAAAAAAAATTACTCACGCTCCTTATCTTTCTGGAATTTAAGTTTCCAAGACACACACGTGTGTGTGTGTGTAAGGAAATTTAAATTATAAATCAAAGGCATTTACATACTTTGATGTTGAACAGAATTAAATACAAAAACTAAATATCAAGAACACATTACTCCAACAGTTTCAAATTTCCTCTAACGCATGCGCAGAGACGTAGTGATTTCTCGCAAGTGGAACGTTTCACGTGACATTCATTAAAATTGATTAACCTGTCAAGTCAGTTATCGTAGCTCAAAATGGTGGCTTGTTATTTGCATGTTTTTCTTTTGCAAATGTTACAAATGGGTGATATTTCAATTCTTTTAAATTTCTTCTTTCCAAGCATTTGGAGTCGAAAGATAAGCGCCTGTAATAAAATTGACTTTGTTTTCGCTCAAGCGCCCGAGGATTCCACCTTATCTCTGAAATTCACAGAAATTATAGTAAATTTACCGAATGGATTTAGAAAAATAACAAGAGATTGTTAATCCGAATACTTTATCCAGTTTTCATGTATTTTTGCTTTTCATTACTCTCTCGTAATTTAGAGAACATAAAACCTTATCTTACGTTTTCCCCAATGATTCAAACACCCAGAAAATAAATATCGTTTCTTAAATTAGATGTTATGTTTAACTTCTAAAAGCAAAAACGGCCTAACTGAATTTAAAATACATACGTTATATATACATACACATTCATAAAAATATCGCCATTGATTCTGATATTTCAATGATAAGTAGATATTCTTTTAGTGTTGGTAATAAAGCGTCGCTTTATTACTACGGAATATTGAAAACATTTGTTTATCTAAACAGCCTTTATTAAAAAAATATAAGAACTCTCTTAAGAGAAAGATAATGCCTGCGCTGGCAGCCGAACAAAATTAACAAAAATCGAATCGAAGCTGTATTTTGTATTGATATTTAATCACTATAGAGGTAGTACTGAAGATGTTTGTTAATAGGACTTTACCCCACATTCAAATACCGACAACCACTCAGAAGCAATAGGATATTTTGTGGACCTATTCTCCGTCATTTATGTTTTATTCTCTTCAATTTATGTTAGAAGCCATATATTCAACGATGAAGATTGATCACAGTAAGGCAGTGGTTTATTTGGAAAAAATACACAAGTTTTACACATGATCGGATGAAAGCGAAGTACGTCATCTGACCTTTTGATTTAAGTAGCCATCAGTGTGACATGTACTTAACTATAAGACAACGATCTCTCCTCAGCTGGTTCAAGGAGTGAGAGAAAAGATTCCATTTGAAACTTGTTTCCTTTTTATGCAATCAGAAGTGATAAGATAAAATGCCCTGCTTGTGGTGTGGATTGGTTTATTTTTGTTTTGTTTTTACGGCATATAAATCTCAATGGGTTATTTAATGCCGACAACATTTTTATTGTTGGTAATTTTTTTTGTTTGAATCTATTTCTGGTAATATTTTTCCTTCAAAAGATCTATTTCTGGTAAAAGTTTTTTTCATCAAAAGTTTTTCATTCAAAAATTCTATTTCCGTTAAAAGTTTTTCATTCAAAAATTCTATTTCTGGAAAAAAATTTCATTCAAAAATTCTATTTCTGGTAAAAAATTTCATTAAAAAAGTCTATTTCTAGTAATAATTTTCTTTCAAATATGTATCGCTGGTAATATTTTTTTTCTGTTTTTCAAAACAATGTGTATCTGGTAATATATATTTTTCATTTCAAAAATATATTGCTGGTAATAAATTTATTTTACAAAGTATTTCTGGTATTAAAACCTATTTTTACACTTCCATAGTGATTTGATCCCAGTTAACTTGATTTGTGGAAGAAAATGCGTCTTGTTCAAGCTTTCATTATCATCTTCTTCATGACAAATAAAGCAAGATCTGACAATGACATTAAGAGAAATTCAAATTGGATTTTGACAACCCGACTTTTAATACGACAGTGTTTCGAGACTTTACGATTGTGAGTGATCTTTTCATAATCATTTACACTTTAAGTTCATCAGAAAATCAAATATTAAAATAGCAACATTCCTTTTATGTATGAATCATTAAGATAAGGAATTTTATGCCTTAACCAATCATTCTGTTATGTGCAAGGCGATCATATATCTTTCAATACAAGGCAGATTTTTCCCGCAGTAGGTTGCGGTAGACCTTTGTCATCCAAGGCTATAGAACCCGGTCTATTCTGCTATTTGCCCATGGGGAGAGAAGAAGCGGATTCATATATTCCCCAAGGGTATTAGAACGTAAGTGAATGTTTTACTTCCAAAATTTAAGAAATATCTAGGTAGGTGAGGCTGCTAAAGCTACCACTACCCTGCCTTTTCCTTCTCACCCTCTTCTTCTCCAATCCTTCCACATCTTCCTCTTGCGTTTCCCACAACTCAAAGTCTCCACTATCAGACTTCGGCCTAAAAACATATTCTTAAGTATTACTCTATTAATACCAAATTTTATTTGGATTAAGATCCCTTTAATTAAATTCATTTGAATCGAACGGATTTATCCCGCATAAAACAGCAAACGGCACCGGCCAAAGTAATATACAACCCAATATATAATCTAAAAAGTATAGAGTAAATTCTTTGTTGAAGAAACCGACTACTACCAACCACTAATCTCTAAGCCTTATCTTTACCCAACCCCTCTCTCACCTTACCTCCCCACTACCAATCTAAATTGTCCATTTAGTGTACTTTCTCCATTTGCGGAGAAGGTTTGGTACAGATGGACTGAACATCTCGGAAATTATTTCTGCATTTTAACATCGCCGACATACGGATTTCACTTTGGGATGTCGCTTTTCCTGATCACCATGCATTTTGTCAATGTTTCACTTTCTTCTAGTTTTCCATTACTACGTTGTCTTTGAATTATTTTACTTTTTTTTTTTTTTTTTGAGTCACTCATTAAAAAGTCACTTTCACATATCTTATGTTTTTAAAATTACGTCAGTTGTGGATCGATTAGTTGAGAAAACGAAAAAAAAAAAAAAAAGCTACCACGACAGACGCAGTTTCTAAACTTGGAAGAGAGTGCATTCTCTTTATTAATTTTTGATCGAGTGCACAAGCAATGCACACAATTATTATTTTTTTTTTTTAAAGTGGAGTGTCTGTGTCAAACACTGAAAAGTTACATTTGAAGGAATAATAGATAGCAGAGAAAGACAAGAGACAGAATTGAGCGAGTTAGCCAGAGAAAATTGAGCAAGTGACAAGAGACACAAGAGAGAGAGGAACAAGAGAGAGAGACAAGAAGAGAGGAACAAGAGAGAGAGACAAGAAGAGAGGAACAAGAGAGAGAGAGACAAGAAGAGAGGAACAAGAGAGAGAGACAAGAGAGGAACAAGAAAGAGAGACAAGAAGAGAGGAACAAGAGAGAGAGACAAGAAGAGAGGAACAAGAGGGAGAGACAAGAGAGGAACAAGAAAGAGAGACAAGAAGAGAGGAACAAGAGAGAGAGACAAGAAGAGAGGAACAAGAGGGAGAGACAAGAGAGGAACAAGAAAGAGAGACAAGAAGAGAGGAACAAGAGAGAGAGACAAGAAGAGAGGAACAAGAGAGAGAGAGACAAGAAGAGAGGAACAAGAGAGAGAGACAAGAGAGGAACAAGAAAGAGAGACAAGAAGAGAGAGGAACAAGAGAGAGAGAGAGAGAAGAGGAACAAGAGAGAGAGAGAGAGACAAGAAGAGAGGAACAAGAGAGAGAGACAAGAGAGGAACAAGAGAAACAGAGAGAGAAGAAGAAGAGAGGGAAGAAGAGAAAAAGAATAAAGAGAAGAGAGAGAAACAAGAGAGAGAGACAAAAGAGAGGAACAAGAGAGAGAGAGACAAGAAGAGAGGAAACAAGAGAGAGAGAGAAGAAGAGAGGAAACAAGAGAGAGAGAGACAAAAAAGAGAGGAACAAGAGAGAGAGAGACAAGAAGAGAGGAACAAGAGAGAGAGAGACAAGAAGAGAGGAACAAGAAAGAGAGACAAGAAGAACAGAGAGAGAAGAGAGAGAGACAAGAGAGAGAGAGAGAAGAGGAACAAGAGAGAGAGAGACAAGAGAAGAACAAGAGAGAGACAAGAAGAGAGGAACAAGAGAGAGAGACAAGAGAGAGAGGAAAAGAGAGAACAAGAAGAGAGAGAACAAGAGAGAAGAGAGAGAGAGGAACAAGAGAGAGAGACAAGAAGAGAGGAACAAGAGAGAGACAAGAAGAGAGGAACAAGAGAGAGAGAGACAAGAAGAGAGGAACAAGAGAGAGAGAGAAGAGAAGAGAGAGGAACAAACAAGAGAGAGAGACAAGAAGAGAGGAACAAGAGAGAGAGAGACAAGAAGAGAGGAACAGAGAGAGAGACAAGAGAGAACAAGAAAGAGAGACAAGAAGAGAGGAACAAGAGAGAGAGAGACAAGAAGAGAGGAACAAGAACAAGAGAGGAGAGAGAGAGAGAGGAACAGAGAAAAGAGAGAGAGAGAACAAGAAGAGAGACAAGAAGAGAGAAAAGAGAGACAAGAAGAGAGGAACAAGAGAGAGACAAGAAGAGAGAACAAGAGAGAGAGACAAGAAGAGAGGAACAGAGGAGAGACAAGAGAGGAACAAGAAAGAGAGACAAGAAGAGAGGAACAAAGAGAGAGAGACAAGAAGAGAGGAACAAGAGAGAGAGACAAGAAGGAACAAGAGAGAGACAAGAGAGAGGAACAAGAGAGAGAGACAACAAGAGGGAGAAGAGGGAGAGGAACAAGAAAGAGAGACAAGAAGAGAGGAACAAGAGAGAGAGATAAGAACAGAACAAATGAGAGACAAGAGAGAACATCTAGAACAGAGAGACAAGAAGACAGAGAGAACAGATGGAGAAGAGATGGACAAGAAGAGAGGAACAAGAGGGACAAGAGAGAGAGAGAGGAACATAGACAGATAAGAAGAGAGAGAGAGAGAGAATCTAAACAAAAGAGAGAGAGACTAGAAGACAGATACAAGACATAGAGAGAGAACATGAGAGGAGATAAGAGAGAGAGAGTCTATGAGACAGAGAGAGAGAGAGACAAGAAGAGATGAACAAGAGAGAGACAACAAGACAGAGGAGAGAGAGAGAAAGACAGATAAGCGAGAGAGAGAGAGAATCTATAAGAGAGAGAGAGAGAGAGAGAGAGAACAAGAGACAGATAAGAGAGAGAGAAGAATCTATGAGACAGATAAGGAAGAGAGAGAGAGAATTTATGAGACAGATGGCGAGAGAGAGAGAGAATCTATGGAGACAAAGAGAGAGAGAATCTACGAAAGACAGAATCTACGAGACAGACAAGGAGAGAGAGAGAGAATGATACAGATAAGCGAGAGAGAGAGAGAGAGAATCTATGAGACAGATAAGCGAGAGAGAGAGAGAATCTACGAGACAGATAAGCGAGAGAGAGAGAGAATCTATGAGACAGATAAGCGAGAGAGAGAGAATCTATGAGACAGATAAGCGAGAGAGAGAGAGAATCTATGAGACAGATAAGCGAGAGAGAGAGAGAGAATCTATGAGACAGATAAGAGAGAGAGAAGAGAATCTATGAGACAGATAAGGAGAGAGAGAGAGAATATCAGATAAGCGAGAGAGAGAGAATCTATGAGACAGACAATCTAGAGATAGAGAGAATCTATGAGACAGAGAGAGAGAGAAGAATCATGAGACAAAGAGAGAGAGAGAGAAACTACGAGACAGACAAGAGAGAGAGAGAGAATCTATGAGACAGATAAGCGAGAGAGAGAGATCTATAAGACAGATAAGACAGAGAGAGAGAGAGAGAGAGAATCTAAGGAGACAGATAAGCGAGAGAGAGAGAGAATCTATGAGACAGATAAGCGAGAGAGAGAGAGAATTTATGAGACAGATAAGCGAGAGAGAGAGAGAATCTAGAGAGAGAGAGAGAGAATCTGATGAAAAGAGATCTACAGAGAGAGAGAGAGAGAACTATGAGATGATAAGCAGAGAGAGAGAGAATCTATGAGACAGAGAAGACAGAGAGAGAGAGAATCTATGAGACAGATAAGAGAGAGAGAGAATCTATGAGACAGATAAGAGAGAAGAGGAATATGAGACAGATAAGCGAGAGAGAGAGAGAGAATCATGAGACAGATAAGCGAGAGAGAGAGAATCTATGAGACAAATAAGAGAGAGAATCTAGAGAGACAGATAAGCGAGAGAGAGAGAGAACGAGAGAGAGAGAGAGAATCTATGAGACAGATAAGCAGAGAGAGAGAGAGAATCTATAAGACAGATAAGCGAGAGAGAGAGAATCTATGAGACAGATAAGACGAGAGAGAGAGAGAATCTATGAGACAGGTGAGAGAATCTATGAGATCTAGAGAATCTATGAGACAGAAGAGAGAATCTACGAGACAGATAAGCGAGAGAGAGAGTGAATCTATTACCCAGATAAGCGAGAGAGAGAGAGAATCTATGAGACAGAGAGAGAGAGAGAGAATCTATGAGACAGAGAGAGAGAATCTATGAGACAGAGAGAGAGAAGAATCTGACAGATAAGCAGAAAAGAGAGAGAATCTATGAGACAGATAAGCGAGAGAGAGAGAATATATGAGACAGATAAGAGAGAGATAAAGAGAATCTATGAGACAGATAAGCGAGAGAGAGAGAGAGAATCTATGAGAGACAGATAAGCGAGAGAGAGAGATCTACGAGACAGATAAGCGAGAGAGAGAGAGAATCTATGAGACAGATAAGGAGAGAGAGAGAGAATGTCATGAGACAGATAAGCGAGAGAGAGAGAGAGAGAGAATCTATGAGACAGATAAGCGAGAGAGAGAATCTATGAGACAGATAAGCGAGAGAGAGAGAGAATCTATGAGACAGATAAGCGAGAGAGAGAGAGAATCTATGAGACAGAGAGAGAGAGAATCTATGAGACAGATAAGAGAGAGAGAGAGAGACAGATAAGCGAGAGAGAGAGAGAATCTATGAGACAGATAAGCGAGAGAGAGAGAGATCTATACAAGACGAGATGAAAGAGAGAGAGAGAGAATCTATGAGACAGATAAAGAGAGAGAGAATCTGGTGAGACAGAGAGAGAGAGAGAATCTATGAGACAGATAAGAGAGAGAGAGAGAGAGAACTATGAAAAAGAGAGAGAGAATCTACGAGACAGATAAGCGAGAGAGAGAGAGAGAATCTATGAGACAGATAAGCGAGAGAGAGAGAGAGAATCTATGAGACAGATAAGAGAGAGAGAGAGAGAATCTATGAGACAGATAAGCGAGAGAGAGAGAGAATCTATGAGACAGATAAGCGAGATAGAGTGAATCTATGAGACAGAGAGAGAGAATCTACGAGACAGATAAGCGAGAGAGAGAGAGAGAATCTATGAGACAGATAAGCGAGAGAGAGAGAGAGAGAGAATCTATGAGACAGATAAGCGAGAGAGAGAGAGAATCTATGAGACAGATAAGCGAGAGAGAGAGAGAGAGAATCTATAAGACAGATAAGCGAGAGAGAGAGAGAATCTATGAGACAGATAAGCGAGAGAGAGAGAGAGAGAATGTACGAGACAGATAAGCGAGAGAGAGAGAATCTATGAGATGAGAGAGAGAGAGAGAGAGAGAGAGAGAATGAGACAGATAAGAGAGAGAGAGAGAATCTATGAGACAGATAAGCGAGAAAGAGAGAGAATCAGAGAGAGACAGAGAATCTATGAGAGAGAGAGAGAGAATCTATGAGACAGATGAGCGAGAGAGAGAGAGAGAAATCTACGAGACAGATAGAGAGAGAGAATCTACGACTCATGATTCTCTCTCTTATTCAGAGAGAGAATCTAAGGAGACAGATAAGGAGAGAGAGAGAGAATCTATGAGACAGATAAGGAGAGAGAGAGAGAGAATAAGGACAGATAAGCGAGAGAGAGAGAGAGAATCTATGAGACAGATAAGGAGAGAGAGAGAGAATCTATGAGATAAGCAGAGAGAGAATCTATAAGAGATGAAAGCAGAGAGAGAGAGAACAGAGACAGATAAGCGAGAGAGAGAGAGAATCTATGAGACAGAGAGAACGAGAGACAGGAGAGAGAGAGAGAGAGAATCTATGAGACAGATAAGCGAGAGAGAGAGAGAATCATAAAGGACAGATAAGCGAGAGAGAGAGAGAGAGAATCTATAAGACAGATAAGAGAGAGAGAAATCTATGAGACAGATAAGCGAGAGAGAGAGAGAGAGAGAGACAGATAAGAGAGAGAATCTATGAGACAGAGAGAGAATCTATGAGACAGAGAGAGAGAGAACGGCTGAGACAGATATAAGAGAGAGAGAATCTATGAGACAGATAAGCGAGAGAGAGAGAGAATCTATGAGACAGAGAGAGAGAGAGAGAGAGAATCAGAGAGAGAGAGAGAAATCTATGAGACAGATGAGCGAGAGAGAGAGAGAGAGAATCTATGAGACAGATGAGGCAGAGAGAGAGAGAAATCTATGAGACAGATAAGCGAGAGAGAGAGAGAATCTATGAGACAGATAAGCGAGAGAGAGAGAGAATCTATGAGATGATAAGCGAGAGAGAGAATCCATAAGACAGATAAGCGAGAGAGAGAGAGAGAAATCTATGAGACAGATAAGCGAGAGAGAGAGAGAGAATGTATGAGACAGATAAGCGAGAGAGAGAATCTATAGAAGATAAGGAGAGAGAGGAGAGAATCTAAGGACAGAGAGAGAGAGATCTGAGACAGATAAGCGAGAGAGAGAGAATCTGTGAGACAGATAAGCGAGAGAGAGAGAGAATGAGGAGACAGATAAGCGAGAGAGAGAGAGAGAGAGAACAAGAGACAGATAAGCGAGAGAGAGAGAGAGAGACAGATGAGACAGAGAGAATCTATAAGACAGATAACGAGAGAGAGAGAGAAATCTATGAGACAGATAAGGAGAGAGAGAGAATCTACAGGACAGATGAAGCGAGAGAGAGAAGAAATCTATGAGACAGATGGCCCGAGAGAGAGAGAGAGAGAATCTATGAGACAGAGAGAGAGAGAATCTATGAGACAGAGAGAGAGAGAAAATCTACGAGACAGATAAGCGAGAGAGAGAATCTATGAGACAGATAAGAGAGAGAGAGAATCTATGAGACAGAGAGAGAGAGAATACAGACAGATAAGCGAGAAGAGAGAGAGAGAGAATCTATGAGACAGATAAGCGAGAGAGAGAGAGATCTATGAGATGGAGATAAGCGAGAGAGAGAGAGAGAATCTATGGGACAGATAAGCGAGAGAGAGAGAGAGAGAGATCTATGAGACAGATAAGGAGAGAGAGAATCTATGAGACAGATAAGCGAGAAAGAGAGAGAATCTATAAGACTGTTAAGCGAGAGAGAGAGAATCTGTAAGGACAGAGAGAGAGAAATCTGCAGGACAGATAAGCGAAGAGAGAGAGAGAGTGGGAACAGATGAAGCGAGGAGAGAGAGAGAATTTATGAGACAGATAAGGAGAGAGGAGGAGAATTTCGAGACAGATAAGAGAGAGAGAGAGAGAGAGAATCTATGAGACAGATAAGGCAGGAGAGAGAGAGATCTACAGGACAGATAAGGAGAGAGAGAGAATCTATAAGACAGATAAGCGAGAGAGAGAGAGAGAGAATCTATGAGACAGATAAGCGAGAGAGAGAGAATCTACAAGACAGATAAGCGAGAGAGAGAGAGAATCTATGAGACTGATAAGCGAGAGAGAGAGACCTATGAGACAGAGAGAGAGAGACAGATAAGAGAGAGAAGAGAGAGAATCTATGAGACAGATAAGAGAGAGAGAATCTATGAGACAGAGAGAGAGTATCTACCAGACAGATAAGCGAGAGAGAGAGAGATCTATGAGACAGATAAGGAGAGAGAGAGAGAATCTATGAGACAGATAAGGAGAGAGAGAGAGAGACAGATAAGCGAGAGAGAGAGAGAGAGAATCTACGAGACAGATAAGCGAGAGAGAGAGACAGATAAGCGAGAGAGAATCTATAAGACTGATAAGGAGAGAGAGAGAGAATCTATGAGACAGAGAGAGAATGAGACAGATAAGAGAGAGAGAGAATCTATGAGACAGATAAGCAGAGAGAGAGAGAGAATCTAAGGAGACAGATAAGCGAGAGGTGAGAGAGAATCTATGAGACAGAGAGAGAGAGAGAATCTATGAGACAGATGAGCGAGAGAGAGAGAGAGAGAATCTACGAGACAGATAAGCGAGAGAGAGAGAATCTATAAGACAGATAAGCGAGAGAGAGAGAATCTATGAGACAGATAAGCGAGAGAGAGAGAATCTACAAGACAGATAAGCGAGAGAGAGAGAGAATCTATGAGACAGATAAGCGAGAGAGAGAGAGAATCTATGAGACAGATAAGCGAGAGAGAGAGAGAATCTACGAGACAGATAAGCGAGAGAGAGAGAGAATCTATGAGACTGATAAGCGAGAGAGAGAGAGACAATAGGTTGATATCTGTCCATATGTGTAAATATATTTGCGGTGAGATTAGATACATATTTCACGTTGTATAGCACGCATTTTAATCGGATGTATCCACTACTCATATTTATATAAAGTATGATCACTTCCCGTTATTGAAAAATAATATAGAAATGGATGTTTGTGAAAATGGATAAAATTTCCCTCAACAATTTTTTGCCTACGCAATCTTCTTTTGAAACGTTTGAAATATTTTACATTTATTTTTATTTTCAAGAATTTTAACATACGAGAGCAAGGTGCGCATTATAGAGTGTAAAAGACGTTTAATCTACACGACTAATTATGCTCCTGCGTGCAGACAACTCTTGGAAATATTTATGTAACAATCACCTACTTCGACCGTATTTCGTTAATTTTTTAAAATTTTTATTTCAGAAGAAACAAAACACAGATCTGTCACAATTTAATTGAAATCCTGATTTCATTAAATATACATATAAATAAATTAAATATTTTAAATGAATGGTTATTTAAAAATATCGAACAAACGGCTGGAATTATTCAGTCATGCGAGGTGAGCATTCTGTCGCAGGCAGGAGAAAGTGTCCTCCCAGTGGCGTGGCGAGGGGGCGGACCGCTCCGGGTGCAAGCACAGGACGGGTGAAACAATGTCACCCCAACAAAATTTTTCAACCAGGCTAAGGTGACAAAAATAGTCTGAAACAGTGGGAGACACAGGGTTTTGCAGGCAGGGCATATGACCCCAAAATAATTTATGACCCCCCAGTTTTGTCCCCAAATCAGAAAATTTCTAAAAATTGTCGGGGAAATTTGTATAGGAAAAATAGCAATGTTTTCCAAGCTTTCATGTGTTTCAGTTGCTACAATCTTAGTTACTAACAAGAGACATTGTTGTAACATTTATCGGATGATATGGTGTTTAACTCTGCATCATTAATAACAACAAAGGAAATACGAAGCCAAAAAGTGCAACAATTTCAGTCTTGGTCTGTATTAATTCGCTGAGATGCAAATTTTCCATTGATACTTTTATACTTTGAATATATCTACTAGTGTTGGGACGATTCAGAATCGAATTGAGAATCGGAAAAATCGGAACTTTTGGGGTTATCGGAATGTATCGGATTCGAAAAAATTTGTGCCTATTTTCCGATTCCAAAAAAATTTCTTTTAAATTTTTAACTTAATTTTCCATTATTGGTACTAATGATAAATATTTATTGTTTTTAAATTATCACTAAATCTAAAATCATAATAACATCAAAATATGATGTAAATTTATTTTACTTGTATAAAGAAAAAACAAAAATAAACTTTGCATAAATTCTCTAGTAACCTTTAAAAAGAATGCAGTTGATTTACAATGTTCCGAAAAATGCTTAAAAATTAAAATAGAACATTTTTGTCAAGAAAAAATACTTTCAAACATCATTGATAATTAAATGGGTACCCAGAAAATGATGCAACGGAAAAATTGGACACAGGAAAATTAGCAACAGAAAATTACGTCAACCATGAGCCAGTCGAGACAGTCGGATCTGGCTGTGCTGTCCATTGAAAACGAGCTTATAAGACAAACAGATTTGACGATGTCATTGACAGTTTGCCACAATGAAATCAAGAAAACATTCATTCTAAGACCATAGTATCGAATGTCATTCTTTTGTGTATTGCGGTGTTTTTGTATTTAGTTGTTCTGAAAGTGAACAGTTGCATTTTAAAAATCTTTGATTTGAACTGATTATTTTGTGGTATTGATTTTGTCTTGGATCATAAATGTAAACAGTAACGTACCGGTCAGTAGAGTAAAGTAGAGGTAGAGCATATATGAAAATTTAGGCAACAGCTAACCATTCAGCATAGAGTGAATCAGGGTCATTAGTGACATTTGGGCAGACCGTTTTGGTGACGTTTACTCTAGCTACGCCACTTGGTGCCAGATGATAGTCTTTAACAAATGAAATTTTCAATGAAACATTTAACTCTTTACTAAAGAAGATTATTTAAAATAACTCAACCTCATTTGAAAAAATCAAAATGAAGAAAAGAAAATATCCGAAATCCTTGGGGATTTTCAATGTTTGGTTTTAGAACAAAAAGATTTTCAAGAAAGTGTACACAATATTTACATATATAGTCTTTTGTATATTCCTGCCCTAAGACCGTTTCCTGGATAAAAAGTGTTGCACTGAGTCGCTGACCAGGCAATTTATCTGGTGTAATATAATGAAAAAATAAAATAAAGGGACAATTAAGACTATAAGTAATGAACAAATTTTATTTATTTCAGAAAAATAAACAACAATTGTTTTCTTCAAATTAAAAAAAAGCAAACCTGAAAATGGAAATAGAGAATGTTTAGATGCACGCAAATCTGTCGCTCACTGAAAATTAGATGGCGCTACACCTCGTAGCATAAAATAGTTTCCAAAGAAGGTAAAGAAAACTAAAAACAAATATTTAAAAAATTTACGAACTTAATAATATGGTGAACTCTTAAAGAAGATGGTATATCAATGTCGCCAAGACTCTTTTGGTTGCCCGTATATCTGGCGATAGCCAGAACAAGAAAGATTTCACCATAAAGACGGCTTATTTTTATGTTTTTCTTCCGTTTTAATTCGAGTTATAAAATGTCTTTTAACTTCTAATTTTAATTCTCACTGCCACATTCCTGCTGCAATTGGCGAAAATAGAGAGCACCAATTAACTACAGACATTTCACCACATCAAAAATAGGTATTTTTTACCTTGTTCATTGTGTCATTGATTTCAATACCGCCTCATTATATATGTATTTAACGCCATTTCAATAATTTACCCACCACCAAAGAATGCACAAAAGGGCATCATTGTCAATGTTCAGCACAAAAGGCTCTTCAATGCCAACTTCATTTGTAAACAATGGATTTACTACATTTTGCCTCCATAAACTTTTAGCGTGTGTTACAAGATTTGATATCATTCATCTAATTGTCAGATTCACGAAATTTGGGAAAATCTTTGATCTTCATTTTTTGCTGTATGTAGTGTTTTTAAATATTTTTCAATAGTTTATGGTCATCATTTTCAACCTTAAATTTTAACTTGCTTTTCCTCTTCTTTAAATTTAGAGACATAAGAAGATTGTTCAACACCATCATCATCCATGGATGGCGATAAAATTCTGAAAAGTTCTACTTTTTGTGCTATTAATAACGACTTCTTTTTTCGCATTGTTACCATAAGGGTATATGCATTTTTTTTGACATTTTCACTTTTATAATTGCTCAACCAGGAAGTGGGAGTGGTAGAAAAGAAAGAAAGAAAGAAAGAAAGAAAGAAAGAAAGAAAAGAAAGAAAGAAAGATGGGCGGGGAAGCTTGCTATTTAGTTAAGTTTTCTGCAAACTCAGCTCCAAATGTTTTTCTAGGGAGGTCTCTGTCAAAATTTTCTTTATTAATGTATCGATCAATGAATTTCAAAAATACATCTGAAAGTTTTGACGTTAATTTTTGAAATTTTACAGAAAAAAAAAAGATGATATGTAAAAGGAAATATAGGAATAATCCCAAAAGATCGTTATTATTTTTCCACGCTTTTCAAAGTATTCTGAACACCTTCGATTATTATTCTAATATCCAAACAATTTCAAAATGGATATAAATATTCTTCGAAAAGCCTTTCAAATAATTTTATGTCATGAGTTCAATACGATACAGGTTAAAATATGGTTGTGAAAATAGAAGATGTTTAAAAAAAAAGAATTAAAAAATAATATAGAAGAATGCTATTTTACAATATTTTTAACTGTCTGGAATTAGAAACCTCATAAACGATCGATTGAATTAAGTGTTTGGTTTGAGATGGTGAAAATAAAGTATTGTACCAGATAATCACAAAGAACCCAAACAACATTCTTTAAAACTATTTTAGAATCCTTCAAATCATCTTACTGGATTTTTATTCTTTTTTTAAAGGCCTACAAATTAGTTCAAGGAAAATTGTTAAAACATGCAATTGATCCGCATCAGTGATTATACAAATGGCAACTATGACTGAGCAGGTGAGGCTTTGTTGAAAACTAGAGTTTTTTGTCCCCAATCCCCAACCTCTTGATCCCAAAAAGTCCAACTTGCACATGGCTTTTTTGAAAAAACCCTTCTGATTTTTGCAACTTTGGCTTTTTTATTTCCAAAGATTAGCAAAGGCAATGCATTTACAAGTTCGATTTAATAATACCGGAGACAACAACATACTCCAAAAAATCGACAATCATACCAGATCTGATTAAACGTTCTGACGAAACAGGATTCTGAGGTTTCAGTATTAAATTCACCAGCATCAACTCAATAAATTTGCATTTCAGCATCCTTTAACTGTTTACATAAAAAACCACGGCAAAAACAAACGGCACTTGCAAAGAAAACCAATAGACAACATGCCCCTTTGTTAAAATTTTAATTCCTGCAACAACAACAGCAACAACAATAATAACAAAACTGGTCGCAATTGCATTGCGTACAACATTTAGAAATATACATAACAATCAGATTTCCTGTTGCTAGGATAAATTTTTCAGTCTGAGGGGTGGGGGAGACTATTTCTGGATTGCGCCCCAACGATAATCAAGGTTAGATGGATATTTGAAAGGCGCTTTGAAGACTTTTTCTTTTGACTTTTTGGAGGAAATACGTTCCGTTAGACAAAGACCATCAAAAACAAAGAATGATGATAATGTTCAAAACGCCAACTTTATTTCTTCCTTTTATCCTTCTGTAACATGTATTAATTGTTTGAATTCCATACTTTGTAAGTCTTTTTTATTGAGCCTGAACTCAAAAGAGTCAGACAAATATTGTTTGTGGGACATATATTATGATAAAGTGATAAAAAAAAATTCCCTGCAAGAAATTGGTTGTAGTCATTAAAAATAATAAAAATAATTATAATATAGAAGTGCGCAAAAGTCCTGAGGTCTGGTTTTTTTCATTTGTTCAAACCAGAGAGTGGATAAATGAGAGAAAAATGAACAGACACACACACACACACACACACACATACATATATATAT